GGGGTGATGATGACTTCTAAGCCATGTTTTTCATTGATATATGCTTTTTTGCACTCTCTCACTTTCTCTCTCATGCAAACAAGATATCAATATACGTACAAAATAGACTTCCTAGAAAGAAAATCAATGACACCCTCTTCAATAATTAATCCTTAACCAATTAAAAGACGACGTAAATTGAATTCAATCAACATCCTTTAAAATATAATTTAAGTTATACAACACCCTGCGGTGTAAAGATTATTTACAATATTAATATAATTTAATTTTTTATAGTCTGGTAAGTTATTATTTTTTCCTAAGTTATTAATCATGATAATTACAAAGTAATATGTAATTGGCTTTTAATTGACCTGGTTGTATAGAAATATCTTTTACAATATTGTGCATGGAATATAGACTCTTTAAAATATTGTGCACTAATTATTCATCAAAATGTATAATTCCTTTTTTTATTTTATGTGATATTTTTTCTTTTTAATTTGTTCAAAGAAAAATAACACTTTTCTATATTGAAATTAATTTAGCTTTAAATATTTTATTATACCCCTTATGATATAATTTTACAAGCACACGAATATTACAGCATGATCAAGATAAAAGGGTAACTCGGTGCACTAAACTCCTGCTATGCGAGATAGCGCGAGGTCCAGGGAAGTACCGGACCACAAGGGTCTATTATACGCGATTTTTCCTGCATTTCTACAAGAGATTGTTTCCACTGTTCGAATCCGTGACCTCCCAATCACATGACAACAACTTTATCAATTATGCCAAGGCTCCCCTTCGCCATGTTCAAGATCAGAAGTTCTAAAAGATTTTTGTTCTTTCTTAAACTCTAAAGTCCACTTAAATAGCTTGGCATAAAATGAATAGGAAGGAGTATTAGATAAAATTCCAAGATCAACCTTGCTTTGTGAAGTAAACATCAAATACTGGAACCATGAGTCAGAAAAAGATCATAATCCTATATANTTTTTGTTCTTGATTACTACCATATATTATACTTATATATTGAAACCCCAAACTCATTATGTCATTATTGGTTAATTGTCATAAGCCCATATATCATTATCATTACGGGGGGGAAGTCCCAAAAAGAAAAGATACAAATCCCCAGAACTGAAGCTAAGCTATAGTTGTAACCAGGCTTTTTCAGATGGTTTTTTCCCACTAGTCTGTTTTCTTCCTTCATTGTGGGGCTAACCATCTGATAAAAAATTCCAAAACTAGACCTTTTAGAACAAGAATTTGGGTGGGGTTGGGGGGAGGTAAAGACAGAAAGAGTGAGAAGAGTCAGCCTACTACTGAGAATTAGATGCCATTAAACATTGTGCAGTGCAAAATATTCCCAAAACTATGGCCCTATTGTCATCAGATGAGGTGGTCCAGTTTTTCCAACTAATTCTAATTAAACACCCCCCCTTCTATTAAAGCCACCCACCAATCTTTTCTCTCTTCAAGTTTTGGGACCATCATCTCTTCTTTTCCTTTTTCCTTTTTTTTTTCTTCATATTTTCTTAATTTTTATTTTATTTATTTTTTATTTCCCACCCCGTGTCCAATACTGGCAATGGGCTGCATACTAAATTGAATTCGCGTCTCGTAAAGTCAATTAAAGAAAAATGCGCTCCCTACAGAATTTTTTCTATTCGTAGAACTCTAACATAAGACTTACAGTGAAGGAATTCAATTCATTCCACCCTTGGTAGTTTAATTTCTCAATGATTTTAGTAAAATATTTGGTAACTCTAAGTAGAGAGGTATCATAACATTGGGATAATAGTTGGTTATCTCTAGATACATGCAACGTTTTTTTTTGCCTTGGTGTAGTTGGCATCATAGCATTGTTCTTGAAGATAATGAGGTTTTAAAGTACTCTAATGTATAACAAGTTTTTTACAAGTTGAGCTGCTCTAATTAAGCTATTTTGGAGTATGTTAATTTAAGATTAAATCACATTAAATAAGCAACTTTCTGATGGTAGGCTATAATTGAGTATTTTAATCACTAATTGCACTCTAATTCACTATACTTTACTAGTGTTTGAGCTTTAATTAGTGTTATATTACACTAAGTGTGTGTTTTATGCCTTGTAGGAGCAATTCCGAGTTATGAAGAGGTTATGGAGCTAACTCGAGCTATTTTGGAGCTTTGAAATCTGCGTAAAAGCCTAAGGATTAAGTCGGAATCGTGTTCGGGGATCAACGAACGAATAGTGCACTTAATGGGAGAAACAAAGAGGAGAAGGAGGCTAAACAAGGTGCGCGACCGCGCACGAGACCCCTTCAGCACGCACTTGAGCGTGCAAGTAAGGCAGTGCACTGCCAGAGGTGCGCGACCATATGCGTGGTAACACCTCCAGTTGCTCGGCCGCACACGTCCACTTCCGGAAACTCCACTCAGGCCTATTTTTGTAATTTCGAAGATAACTCCTTTAGATCTATATGAAGCCTAGCTTGTCTAAAAACAGGGTACCTGGGAACTTTTGATACAATTTCTACCTAAGGAGGCCAAGGAGGCTAATGAGGAGTTGGAAGAACACAAGCACAAGGATTTCATCATTTCTTACTCACTCAAGATCGGGTTTCGATTGAATTTATATTTTTTTATACTTTAATTATATTTGTGAAGAACTTCTCCATGTCTATGGAGTAGATCCTTTTGGATTTTGATGGATTTGGTGTATTGATGATTGTTTGTGGATTATAACTCTATTTTTATGTATTTGAATCGGTTTTGGAAGATTTAATTATTGCATCTATATTAACTTGTTCTTGTAATCGAAAGAGGCATAACTTGTGATATTTTTGCATTATATTATTGGTTGAGTTCATAGATTCTTCTAAGTAATTGAAAGAGGCTAGTTGAATCATTGATTAAATCTAGTAAGGAGAATAATTGAAAGAGGTTTTCCTAAAGACCGATCCACTACACATTCTTGCATATCTTCATAGTGCTTAAATTGGTTCATCTCGTGACGTTAAGACTTAATCGAGAGAGCAGTTTTTGCTGAACATTTGTACTAATAACAGAGTGAATTCGACAGACTCAATTGAACATTGGAAGTGGATTATCTAGAGTTAGATCCCGAATAATTAGCTTGCATATATTCTGTCAAAACCCTATCTTCTTTCACTGATAACCTTAATTGCTTATTCCTTATTTCGATAATCACTAGTCAATAGCTGTAGATTTTAGATTCTTAGTTAAATTTTATTATTAATCATATAAATCTCAACTGTTGATCCTCCTGGATAACAATCAAGCTATAAACTACGAGAATACTATTTAAATCCAATCTCTCTAGATACGATATTATACTATACTATCTTTGACTAGCGAGTACAATTTATTTTTATTTTTACTTTTAATTTGTTCTTCACGGGTTTCTCACATGTGTGCAGGATACAAGTTTATTTCTCTGGTGTATGACTCGATCCTCTTCAAGGGAAGTGATACCCTATGAACCAGAGTTGGAGAAACACCTGCGACATCTGAGAAAAGAAAGAGAATTAACAGAAATATTCTTAGGTCAAACTTCGACTCAAGATATCATGGAAAATGAAGACAATGAAGGAGTAGACTTAGCTGCAAGGGAGGCAGCACAACAAGAAGCTGCACGGAGAATTGCTGATGAGACAGTCGAACTCAATGGGGGTCGAAGATTCAATCTAAACCGACCTTTGGTTGAAGACCATTTCGAGAATGCAGCACCCCGACCTGGATGATAATTGGGTGACTATGCTAGGCTAGTATATAATCAAGGACTGTCAAGTGTCAGACCCCCACCCATAGCAGCAAACAACTTCGAATTGAAGCAAGGGTTGCTTCAAACTATCCAAAACAACTGCACTTTCAGAGGGAAGATGAACAAATATCCTAATACTCACTTGATGGACTTTGACAATATCATGAACACCTTTCAATACAATGGAGTATCAAAGGATGCTGTCTACTTAAGGGCATTCCCCTTTTTATTGAAAGATGATGCTGAGCAATGGCTTCGTAGCTTACCCCGAAGGTTCTATCTGCACATGAGAATATATGACCAAGAATTTTCTTGACAAGTTCTTTTCAGCTACAAAAACAGGGAAGTTCATAAAGGAATTCCATAATTTCTGCCAGAATTAGACAGAAACTATTTTTGAAGCTTGGAAACGATTCAAGGAGATAGTCAGAAAATGTCAGCACATTGGAATTGATTTGTGGATGCAACTCCAGGATATTTGGGATGGACTAACACCGTCCTCGCGACGAACTCTGAATATTTCATGTGGAGGTCCACTAATGAAGAAAACACCGGAGGAGGTTGTCTTAATCCTTGATGAATTATCTGAGGACGCTAATTAGTTGTCGGTTGAAAGTAATGACAGAAGAAAATCAGTTGGGGTTCATCAGGTGTACTCTAACACATCCATGCAAGCCCAACTAGACACCATAGCTAAGGAGATAAGAAAGCTGACACTGGCCAAGGTACAAAGTGAGCCGCAAACATCATGTGACTTTTGTGGATTGGGACACCCTACACATGAGTGTCAAGCATCAGCTGAGGAAGTCAACCTGTGGGGAACTTTAATAGAGGAAACTACCTAGGTAGGAACAACTATAATGCTATGGGTCAAAGACATCCAGGTTTTTCGTGGAGTTCACCTAATGGAAGCTTGAATTCATGGTAGCAAAAATAATCCCAGACCCCAGGGTTAAGGACCACTAGATTTTCAAAACCAGCAAAGGTAAGAATACCAGCCACAACAGCTAAATTAGTCTAGTATGGAAGATCTCATGAAGGCATTCATCAACAAATCAGATGAAAAATTTGAGACTCGGGGCA